CCTTCCGAATATGAGCAACTTTATCTGCATAAAAATTTGAAAAATCGTTGCAGGAGGTCTTGGGGTCTTTACAAGGCCCCGGTGTTAAAGGTGGTTCCGTTAAATTGCAAACCACCTGAAAGAGTCTCCTGCTACTATTTTCTGTAGATGCTATAGAGGCGGTGAAGAAAGTCTTCTTCGCCGTTGCTATCGCCACTTGGTAGGCTCGACATTGAGCTCTAACCTGTGTCCGGTCCAATTCAGAATGAGTTTTCTGCCACTGGCACTCTAGCCGTCTCAGCGATTGTTTCCTCACCCGCAGCTCCAAAGAAAACCACGGGGCTGTCAGGGCTCCATGCAGTCGGAGAGGGCACTTCGGAGCCAGACAGTCGATAGCCCTGGTCAACTCCACATTCCAGCGGGCCACCAGGGAATCAGCTGAAAGGCCATCAACATGGGATAAAGCATACCCTACCACTCTCTGGAAACCATTTGGATTCATTAAGTGGGGGCGGACCATCCGCATTGGTCCCACCTCTCTGCAGAGGAGAAGGGTCACAGAGAAGTCCAGTTGCACCAGGAAGTGATCTGACCATGGCACTTCTTTTGTTTCACTTTTACCTAGTGTCATATCACCCATGTCACTATTGGTGAACACTAGGTGTAAGGCATGTCCGTGACTATGAGTTGGGCCAAACTTATTCAGGGACAGCCCCATGGAGGCCATGCTTTCCACGAAGTCCCAAGCAGCCCCTTGTAAGGTCATGTTGGCATGGATGTTAAAATCCCCTAGAACAACCAAACTAGGTATCTCCAGGAGAACATCCGCGATGACCTGAAGCAGCTCGGGCAGGGAATCCTTGGTGCAGCGGGGAGGTCAGTACACCAAAAGGAATCCTGTACTGCCCCTATTGCCCAGCTTCCAGAACATGCACTCAGAGAACTGGGTCTTTCATATGCGCAGAAGCGCCAAATTGCACCAGTGCCTGTGCAGATGTGGCGCTTCAGGATGCGAATGCTGTGGGTTGCGGACGTGCCTCAGTCACGGGTTATGTCTGCAACCCGAGGTTCCACTGTACCAATTTTGTTTTAGGGCTTAATTTGCAGTAAATTTTATTCCTTTATTCATAATTGTTCTCACTGTTCTACTGTGAACTGCTCTTAAAATTTTTGCATCCATTTTGTCATATAAGGTTTTGCTTGTTCGGGCTTGGTGTCATATTTGAGTAATAGTTTATAAATTTTACCCAGAAGGTAGAACTCTGTTATGATGGACTCAGATTCTATATTTTCACTGATTTAAATGTTTGCCATACAGTCTTTCTTGAATCTGGATATTAGTTGACAGTATGTAAGCAGTTTCATATTTTTTCTCCTCTTTAATACTTTGGCATGTATTTGATCTGTTCTTGAAGATGAACCATATCTTGGTACAATATATACCGTATTTTTCACTCTATAGGACGCACCAAACCATAGGAGGGGGAGAACAAGGAGAAAAAAATTCTCCCCCTCTCCGCTCAGCGCCCCTTCAGCGAAGCGGGATGAGAAACGGAGCAAAGCCTGGAGAGCAAGAGGGATCGGTGTGCACCGACCCCTCTCGTTCTCCAGGCTTCAGCGAAAGCAACGCGTAGCCTCTGGAGCGTGGAGGGAGCGCTCCCTCTGCGCTTCGGAGGCTTCGTGTTGCTATCGCTGAAGCCAAGGAGCCTGCATTCGCTCCATAGGACGCACACACATTTCCCCTTAATTTTTGGAGGGTAAAAAGTGTGTCCTATAGAGCGAAAAATACGGTAGTCATATATTCTCCTATCGGCTCTAATAATAATATTGCAGTGGTGACATTAACAGTGCAGGTAAGGGGGTTTTTGTGATTTTTGTAGTGCAACTCATGATTTGTGAGTTGTGCCCGTAGCTATGATGTGTGATTTGATGGTGAGTTTGGGAGCCCAATGCGAAAAGAGTGAGGATCCTTGAGGATCCGTGCTCAAAAACTACCTTTTTGGCCATGGCGTTGCCAGGAAGCCATGGATCCATAATTTTTATGGTGCAGGCTCTGCTCCTGGCTATGACGTGTGATTTGAGTGAGTTTGGGTTGGCCCAATTCAAAAAGCGTGAGGATCCATGAGGATCTGTGCTCCAAAACCACGTTTTTGGGCCTTGGAGTGGCCAGGAAGCCGTGGATCTGAGATTTGTGTGGTGTAAACTGTGCCCCTGGAAAGATGTGTGATTTGATGGTGAGTTTCGGTTGGCCCAATTCAAAAAGCGTGAGGATCCATGAGGATCTGTGCTCCAAAACCACGTTTTTGGGCCATGGAGTGGCCAGGAAGCCGTGGATCGAGTTTTTGTGGTGCAGGCAGTGCCCCTGGATGATGTGTGATTTGACAGTGAGTTTGGGTTGGCCCAATGCAAAAAGTGAGGATCCACGAGGATCCGTGCTTCGGAACCACGTTTTTGGGCCATGGAGTGGCCAGGAAGCCGTGGATCCGAGTTTTTTGTGGTGTAAGCTGTGCCCCTGGACATGATGTGTGATTTGACGGTGAGTTTGGGTTGGCCCAATGCAAAAAGCGTGAGGATCCATGAGGATCCGTGCTTCAAAACCACGTTTTTGGGCCTGGCCAGGAAGCCGTGGATCCGAGTTTTTTGTGGTGTAAGCTGTGCCCCTGGAATGATGTGTGATTTGACGGTGAGTTTGGGTTGGCCCAATGCAAAAAGCGTGAGGATCCATGAGGATCCGTGCTTCAAAACCACGTTTTTGGGCCATGGAGTGGCCAGGAAGCCGTGGATCCGAGTTTTTTGTGGTGCAGGCTGTGCCCCTGGAATGATGTGTGATTTGACGGTGAGTTTGGGTGGCCCAATGCAAAAAGCGTGAGGATCCATGAGGATCCGTGCTTCAAAACCACGTTTTTGGGCCATGGAGTGGCCAGGAAGCCGTGGATCCGAGTTTTTTGTGGTGCAGGCTGTGCCCCTGGAATGATGTGTGATTTGACGGTGAGTTTTGGCCCAATGCAAAAAGCGTGAGGATCCATGAGGATCCGTGCTTCAAAACCACGTTTTTGGGCCATGGAGTGGCCAGGAAGCCGTGGATCCGAGTTTTTCTGTGGTGCAGGCTGTGCCCCTGGACATGATGTGTGATTTGACGGTGAGTTTGGGTGGCCCAATGCAAAAAGCGTGAGGATCCATGAGGATCCGTGCTTCAAAACCACGTTTTTGGGCCATGGAGTGGCCAGGAAGCCGTGGATCCGATTTTTGTGGTGCAGGCTGTGCCCTGGACATGATGTGTGATTTGACGGTGAGTTTGGGTGGCCAATGCAAAAAGCGTGAGGATCCATGAGGATCCGTGCTTCAAAACCACGTTTTTGGGCCCGGTGGCCAGGAAGCCGTGGATCCGAGTTTTTGTGGTGCAGGCTGTGCCCTGGACATGATGTGTGATTTGACGGTGAGTTTGGGTGGCCCAATGCAAAAAGCGTGAGGATCCATGAGGATCCGTGCTTCAAAACCACGTTTTTGGGCCATGGAGTGGCCAGGAAGCGTGGATCCGAGTTTTTTGTGGTGCAGGCTGTGCCCCTGGACATGATGTGTGATTTGACGGTGAGTTTGGGTGGCCCAATGCAAAAAGCGTGAGGATCCATGAGGATCCGTGCTTAAAACCACGTTTTTGGGCCAGTGGCCAGGAAGCCGTGGATCCGAGTTTTTTGTGGTGCAGGCTGTGCCCTGGACATGATGTGTGATTTGATGGTGAGTTTGGGGTGGCCCAATGCAAAAAGCGTGAGGATCCATGAGGATCCGTGCTTCAAAACCACGTTTTTGGGCCATGGAGTGGCCAGGAAGCCGTGGATCCGAGTTTTTGTGGTGCAGGCTGTGCCCCTGGACATGATGTGTGATTTGACGGTGAGTTTGGGTGGCCCAATGCAAAAAGCGTGAGGATCCATGAGGATCCGTGCTTCAAAACCACGTTTTTGGGCCATGGAGTGGCCAGGAAGCGTGGATCCGAGTTTTTTGTGGTGCAGGCTGTGCCCCTGGACATGATGTGTGATTTGACGGTGAGTTTGGGCTGATCTAGTGCAAAAGCGTGAGGATCCATGAGGATCCGTGTTTTTAACCATGTTTTGCCCATTGCGGCACCACGAAACAGTGGATGCGTGATTTTTTTGGTTCCTCCTACAGACTAAGATGTGGTCTACAGTAGCATGGTGTTTATTTTGTTTCAATATAAAAATCATATGAATTCATGAGGATCCGTGCCTCGGATCCATGTTTTTGTGGTGCTGTAGCGCGGCAAAGTGTTGGATCCACGTTTTTTATAGTCCAGTTTGTAGGCGTGCCTTCCAGGTGTGATTTGACACTGCATTTGTTGGAATAATTTTTTAAAAAGTGGAGGATCCATGAGGATCCGTGTAGATCCGCCTTTTATGCAGACCCTGCATCTTTTAACTCGGGATCAATGAATCATTTCATTTGTATACTGCCTTTTTCCAAAGTTAAAACCATGCTCAAGGCAGCCTGCAACAGAGATATTTAAAAAAATCACATAATTACAAACATAACAAAACTAAAAGTAGTCATAAATTAAACATCAAAAGTACACAACCACATTGAGTATGATGTGTCTTTGAAAAGGCGCCAACACCCTTTTTATCGGAGCGTGGGCAGCTGATAAGAACCGCTGGCGCAGAAGAAGCAGCATCAGCGGCTGCGCTACGCTTCGCGATTTGATTCGGACCCCTCGGCTTTCCGTCGCTCTTTCCGGCTCACCTCGAGTATCCTAGAGATAGGAAAGTATGAGCCGATTAACAGCTCTCTCTGTCGTTTTGCCGGAAGTCGAGCAAGGCGCTCTACCCGTTCGTGCATCTAGGGCGTCCGGAGTCTGCCACGCCCCCTTCTCCTTCCCCGAGCGGTTCAAGCGAGAGCGGGAGGGCAGAGTCGCTCTCACTCGAGAGGCGCGCGGGGTAGAGCGCGCAGCTACCATGTCCGGCTCCGGCAGCGACCGCGGCGACGCACCTCGTCGCTCCCGAAGCCAGCAGCTCGGCTCCCCCGACGGCGGCACTCCTCGACGCCGGGCGCGAGCGGGCGACGGGGATGGCGGCGGGCGAGGCAGCGAAGAAGAGGACGGGGCGGCCGGAGGAGCAGCGGGAGCGGAGGGCGCCTTGCCGGGGCCGTCGGGCGGCGACGGGGCGGACGAAGCGACGCGGCGGCTGCTCCGCCAACAGTACCGGGAGCTCATCTCCTCCGTGCAGCGTAGGTGCGGGGCGGGAGAGGGGAGGCGGGGGGGAGCTTCGCTGCAGGCACAGGGCTCCTCTAGTCCCCCGAGCCCCTCGTCGGTCCCCCCTCCGCGCCCTAGAGAAAGGTTGGCTGGCGTGACTGGTAGAGACTGGTAGAGAAGTGGGGTGGGGGGCTGCTGGTCTTGTGCCCACATAAGGGAAGGAGCCCATATGCCCTCTCCCCCCCCCAAAAAAATGGTCCAGCTCCCTCTTCTCACAACGGTCCGCCAGGAAGGTGTGGAGAGTTGGCCCCTGCAGGACCCGACCTCCCTCTTCGCACTTTCACTTTCTTCTTTCTGTTTCATAAGTTGGAATAGGAATACTGTACTCCCCGTCGGTCATGGGGAAAGTTGTTTTTTTGTGCTTCATTGATGCATGGCGTTTGTGTCGTGGCTCGCAACGGAAAGGGTGCAAAACGCAGCTCTTCCGTTGCTGCGGGTAGTACGGAGCAGAAACCGAAAGTGTTTGGAAAGTTTGCATATCCTCGAGTGTGCTCTGGAACGGAATACCCCACTTGGGACAAAATAGTGATATGTGAATCCCCCTGTTTCTTTTCAATCTCACGGCTTTTATAATTTTATTTACAACCTTGCCTTATTTACTTTATTCATCAAATAGCATATTTTCTTTCAACCCCCTGGCAGCTTTTCTCATGCTCTTCTTTAGAAATTCTCATGAAACCCTAATCCTAAGTGTTATGGCCTCCCAAGATTATTTTAATGCCTGCGCTAGCAAGTATTGAGAGTGGTGCTTCTTCAGTTACCTGGTTTCCAACCTGCGTATGCTTGTTCTAAATGTAGGTGCTGTTAGATTGAAGATTCTAGAGCTGTTGCTGTGGTTAGAACATGCATAAAGTTAAACAAGCTGTAAGTCAAGAGGTACGATTTAGAGCTGTCGCTGACTTGCATTCATATTTACTTGAGGGGTATATTTTGGATTATGTGTTTTTATTTTGTTTTCCTTTAAAAGCACATTACTTATGCTTGATTTTTATTCTAGAGAATCGTGAAATGATGCTGAGCACCAGAAATGATAAACTCACAGAGGCTTTGGAAGATGCGAATAGACTATTTACAGGAGGTAAGATGGTGGTAGCTCACAATAGATACTTATATTTACTTCTCTCGCCTCCCCACCCACTTTACATTTGGAAATGGTGCTTGAAATAAAATAGTGCTTGAAATAAAAAGTAACCAATATTTTGTCTTGTGTCAAATAGAACTGAACTTAATTTTTATTTTTTTAAAATGAAGTCAACATCCTTAGAGGAGAGACAGCGTAAGCAATCTTTTCAAGGATGCTGGCTCTAGCTTTCTGCATTCCTTAGATAACAGCAGGAATAGGAGTGTGAAGGCCTGGGAAAAAGCAGGGGCAGAGGAGGGTAGCTGTTCTTTTCTGTTTTCAAGGCCTTTGAAGTTTCTCATTTCTCTGAAACATTATCTTTCTGGCTCTTTGGTTCTGTTCCTGTTGATAGAGTACGACTGATACACGTACAAATAATTGTACTCTAACTAGATGTCTTCAGCGGCTCCCTTCCTACTGACTTGGAAAACTGTAACCATTCTTGAACTGGAATGTTAGGTTGATTTAGGAACAATTACATGGTAGCTTCCATTGTCTAGCATCCTCTTGTTGCTTCATATATCAATGCCAATTTTATTTATATACCATCTTCTCATAGTTGGTGCGCAAGACAGTTTATTGAAAAATAACATACGAAACAGCTCATATGGTATTATCAGCACCACGCTCTATCCAAGGTTGCAGGTTCAAGAGCTGCATATTCCTGCATTGCAGGGGTTGGACTAGATCAGGCTTCCCAAAACTCAGCCCTCCAGATGTTTTGGGACTACAACTCCCATCATCCCTAGCTAACAGGATCAGTGTCAGGGATGATGGGAACTGTAGTCCCAAAACATCTGGAGGGCCGAGTTTGGGGTGCCTGGACTAGATTGATCCTTGGGTCCTTTCCAACTCTACAGTTCTGTGATTCTATGAATATAAATACAAACATGAACAGCAAAAAACAATCCACAGAATCTCAAAGCAATGCAATAAATTCATAGCACAATAATATTCAGTATCCTATCAATATACAGAGGTACCTCTACTTATGGATGTGATCCGTTCCAGGGTGACGTTTGCACCCAGAAAAGTCTGTAAGTAGAGCATCGCTTCTGTGCTTGCATGTGATGCAATAGAGCGCTCCTGCACATGCGCAAAGCGCACAGAGTGCTCATGCGCAAAGCGCACAGTATACACTTCTGGGTTTTCCGCATTCGCAACCCGAAAATCCGCAACATGAACCTAACGCACCAGAGGTATGACTGTACTGAAAAATGGGACTCCATCTAATAATTTATCAAAATATAACTACAATAAATCAGTGCATAACAGTGTGGTCCTAAACTAATTAGACCTTGGAAGCTGCAGCCCCCCCCCCCCCAGACCAAGTGACATTGGTCTAAGTGGGACAGTAGGTCTTTTAGGGTTTGCAACCAAATTATCTCTAGGCACCTTCAGCAGACTCTTTGCAGGTGGTCATTAAGAACCCACTCTTCCAAACCATCTTAGAAGCAGAAATGTATTTGATGCTCCCACAAGGAATTGCAATTTTCTGTTCTAGTAGATCTCATTGAATGCTGAAATCTTGGCCCCTTAGAAAAGTGGGTGGTAATTAAAATCAAATTGTTCTTATTTTTCAATTGCCTCTGACAGTAACAAAATGTATTTCTTTCATCACAGTGTCCCGGGCAAGGGAGGCTGCTTTGGATGCCCAGTTCCTAGTTTTGGCATCAAATCTAGGAAAGGAAAAGGCAAGCCAGTTGCACTCGGAGATGTCAGTGTTTGATCCATCGGAGTTTGCTGAAGATTTAGTAAGTTTGCAGTGATTAGTTTTGAAATAATATAAAGTTGCTATGTTTAAGAGTTATTAAATAGGAGTTGGTTCCATAAATCACCATCACCACTATTTTTTCCTGGTTACCTACTGCTCATTAGCAAAATTATTTCTAGTATAGATGTGAAAGCAAATAACAACTTTATTGTTGCAAGATAAGTACTTTGTTGAGCACTTTACAAAGGTCTCAAATATACAAAGGTCCCAAATCCTGTAGTATGAAATGCAAGATTCACATAGCTGGGTAGGACATACTCTGGGTTCAGAGGTAATGCAAAATCATGGGCTTTTGCTAAACCATGGAGTTTTTAAGTTTGTGAACAAAGACTGTTCACAAGCTGTGGCTTGTTTGGGACCAACAGACTGGGTTTGAAACTGGTTTAATACAATTT